GTGTGCGTGTGTGTGTGTGTGTGTGTGTGTGTGTGTGTGTGTGTGTGTGTGTGTGTGTGTGTGTGTGTGTGTGTGTGTGTGTAACCTGGTTGGCCCCAATCTTTTATGTTTGGTGTTTCAGGGTTGGATAAACGGATACGAACACTGGAATAGGTTCGAGGGCAGTGATTCTTTAACTTGCATTTTTCCTTTTCCATTCATATTCAAGGGGTCCTTTTGAGGAGTTTAGGGTTCAAATCCTACTAAGGATGAATCTTGCGAATAGGCTGAACCTCACTGCACGGTGAGATCTGGATGTACCTGTGGCATAATAGACATGTAAGGGAAATTACAAGCACCCATCTGTTAAAAAAAAAAAGAAGGACCCATCTTATTTTCATTACAATCCTTGCCCAAACAGAAGGTGTGATCATTGCCGCTGTATGTAGACTGAAAGTTGCCCCAAGTACAGCTTATAGTGACTGGCAGTTCTATTCCGGTAAAGATAGTGGTAGACCGTTACTTGCAACCGTGACAAGAACCCTTCTGTATGTAGACTGAAAGTTGTGCTTGGTTCCAATCCTTTGTGAATAGATGATTTCTTTGACTTCTTACACTCATCATAACCACCACATTCTGTTTGTTGCAAAGGGAACTCGACGAAAACATCAGCAAAATCTTTTTTTTTTTTTTTTTTTTCATCCTTGCGCAGGGGCCATGCTAATCTTCTCTGTATCGTTCCAATTTTAACAGATGTCCCGAAGGACGAAAACATCAGGTATCAGCCGGTGATGGAGAGCAATTTGAAAGTTTGAAACCATATCACCCCACCAATTCTTCGTTTCTTTTAACCACACAAGTACTTATAGGCTTCCTTTTGCCGAAGCGGATTCCCCCCTGCGTGCCAAATAAAAACAAACCGGTGACTTTTCTTTATTCCGCTGGAGCCACCAAAGCCATGTAGCTCCGGTCGGCCGTGCCCCGAACGCCACAGCGCGTGCAGGGCTGCGTCGAGAAAAATGGCTGGGACAGGTATTGGTCGGACAACTTCTTATGCTCATAACAGCGACCTCTCTGTTCTTTTGCAAGCAGAACTCGAGAAAGAATATCATGTTTTTTTTTTTTTTTTTTTTTTTTTTTTCCCCTTCTTCTTTATCCTTCAATATCATGTATTAGATGGTGATGACAAGCAATTTGAAACCACATCAGACCCCACATGCCCCCCCCCCCCCAACAACCATCACACTCACCTTTACCGTCTTTATCCGATTTGCTGCAGCCTCAGGGACTGTCGAACAAGCTACTGTCGACACTGAGCTTGGTGAGGTGCCAGGACCCATGTCTGCAGCGGCAGCAATTTCTTTCACTCCTACCATTGGTTCCGGCTTCAACGCCATCACAGCCGGTGAGCTATCTCTCGACAGATTATCGCTCGGAGGCACAGAATTTGCTGTGCGCCCTCGCACATTCAGTACGGTGTGCGTCTCAGATGTCACTTCGACAAGCTCGACTTCTTGCACCGGTGCTTTTGTTTCCTCTTTCGGCTTCTCCTTCGCCCTGCCGCCACCCATCCAGCCCATGATTGAACCTCTGACAAACCCAAAGAGGCCACCCCCCTGCAGCATCCACAACAACGACGCCGAAATATCGCAGATCCTTAGATTCAGAACCCAGAGGAATGTGCATGTTGTATTGCCAGTGGAGTAGGAAACGGACTGATACTCCCCCTGCCCCCGAGAATGGACAACGACCCCGAACCATAAGGTTCTGTTTTTTTTTTTAATTAAAATTTAAAAGAGAACCCAGAATCCTGGGCTGTTCAGACAGAGTGAACCATAGCTCAAAAAAAGAAAAGCCAGTCAGAGCAAATACTTCACAGGCACATCAGGCAGCAAACGAGACAGGCCAATGGCAAGCAAGTGGAAGGCTGACAGATACCGCTTAGCGGCGATAGACGCAAACGGGCAGCAAACTCGACCAAAAAACAAGACAGCAAGCGATTGAGGATAGCCCGGCAAAACGAGTGTTGCATACTCGTGAAACACAGTCATAAGTATGGCGCAGATTCCCAGAACCGACCAGATAATACAGAGTGAATACAAAATACAAAATGCGGAATACAAAATACAACATACAAAATACAAAATACAAAATACAAAATACAGCAGAAGACTTGAGATACATGGATTGACTCAAAACCTGACTCAGACTGTAACGAACCTCTCACAAACATGCATCGGTGGTGTGAAAGCCCTGGCCTTGAACATGGAAGACGAGGCCAGGGGCTGATCTCATACACGGATGAATGGGGGAAGGAGAGACGAAGGGAGGAGTAGAGGGAAGATGACGTCAACTCAATGTTTCCAAAAATCGTATCTCGAAATGTCAGAAGTCTGAAGTAGCGAAAATCCGAAATGTCGCGAATACAGAGTCTCACAGTGTCTCAGACATCGACCTCACAATGCAAGATACTTCCTCAGAGGTAGATGAAGTCAGATCCCAAAAGTAGTCCTCAACCTGCAGTCTCAATGTCGCTACCTCCAGTATCATCAGAACTCGTAACCATCCTTCATAGTCGTAGTAGTCCAGTAGTGTAATCCAACAAGTAGTCTTAGACTTAGAGGAGAGAGAGAGAGAGAGAGAGGGGGGGGAGGGGGAGGAGGAAGAAGAGGGAGGAAAGGCGAAGCCTTTCTCCCTGGTACCTGGCTATGCAGCTATGGTGCTGCAGGGCTGGGCGCTGGGCCGCGGGCTGGGCCAGAGGCTGGCGCTATTCCACTGCTGCGCTAAGGCGATGCTACGTTGTTCCTCCTTGCCGCTGCACTAATTCCCTTCTCGCTGCTCATCCTCATGCTGAAACGCTGCGCTAATCCTGAAGACTAACTCGTAGACTAACTGTAGACCAACCTCCCCACTGAGGCTGGTACCCGGCTAATATAGTGCAGGGCCAGCCTCAAGGCTGCTGGGACCTTGGGTCTGGACCGTTGATCTGATCAACGGTTCAGATCCTGTTACCTGAATCTGAAAGTGGCGGCCTAACTTGGCCGCTCTTCAAACTGTGCCGCCGGTAGGTCCTACTGCTGGACCGGTACCGGCCTGAACCAATGTGACCGTTGGGCCTGTCTTAGACCCCTAGACCTAGGCCTACCGGGTTCTAACTGAACCGGCGTACTCCTAGGTCTGCCTGGGCCTGATCTGAACCGTCGTTCCCCTACCGTCTTCCCCCGAACATAACGCATATAGGTTGTATTCGAGTTTTCCAAAAAAACCGATTTTTGGAAAGTTAGACCCTTTTCTTCGAATACAAGGGCACTTCGAATATAACGCATATGCGTTTTATTCGAATAAAACGCATATGCGTTATATTTGAATTTCACGAAGAGAAAACTGTTGTATTCGAGTATAACGCATATGTGCCTCTCTCAGAGCCAACACAATGCACGGTCATCATGACTGTATTTGGAGGGAAGTCTCTCTCTCTCTCTCTCTCTCTCTCTCTCTCTCTCTCTCTCTCTCTCTCTCTCTCTCTCTCTCTCTCTCTCTCTCTCNTCATAAACAAGTAAAGTCAAGGAGAAGACAATTTATAAAAAAAAAAAAAAAAAAAAAGAGAGAAGGAGAGACAATGAGAAGACGTACAAACGAAAACGAAAACAAACACAGGCTCACCGGAACGTAAACCCTTTCATTCCACACACCCAAGACCCTCCCAACCGGTGCCTCTTAGGCTCTTACCGCTTCTGCGATGGCTCATGCCGTGCCACCACATAAACAATGCAGATTCAATCCTTATAGCGTAAGAAATTATATTTTTTTTACTTTTTACGCTTGGTCACTTTTTCTGCCAGCTTTCTTTTTCCGGCCATAGAATGGGCGTCTCCGCACCGGACACGAAACGAAAAACGAAACGAGCGCATCTTCCTGCAGAAAATGGCCAGGTTCATCGGTTTACTATAAATCGTAACGACTGTATTTTGCCACCTTTCGTGGCCAGATGCACTCGTTTCGTTTTCGTTTCATGTGCTGTGCCGCGCGAGCCCCAATTACAACCAACGAGTCACAACTTTACGTTTTTAAATTTTGCACTGTTACTCTGTGGAGATTGATGCCAGCTTTCAGACGTGGCAGGACAGAGAGAGTGAACACTCACACTAGGCCTTTTTCTAGACGCAACTGATCCCATTCGGGCCTGTTCTGGGTGAATCTGGCCGCAATTACATTTACATTCAGAGCCCCGTGAAAAAAAAAGAAGTTCTCTATGCCAGCTTTTAGACATATGATGTCACACAGAGAGCCCAGACTGCCAGTTGTGATCGTGGCTGGATGTATCTGATCCCAATTCCGGCCCTGTCCTAGATAGACCAGCCTGCAATCACATCCAGAGAACAGTCAGGTAAAAAAAAAAAAAAGACCTCTATGCTAACTGTCAGTCTTTCAGTCTTTCAGACGTGATGTGACAGAGAGAGCCAGCACTGACAGCTGTGAGACTGTGGGAGGATAGTCACACCCGGGGCTAGGTCCCACTTACACGAATTAAGCGATATTGACCGTAGATAGCAAGGATCAACGGCTAGAATCTCTTAATCTGTGCAAGTGGGACCTAGCCCCCGGAGTCTCCTGGATGTACCTGATCCCACTTTGGGCCTGCCCTTGAAGTCCAGAGATCAGTGGGAAAGGTCCTCGTGCGAGTACACTGTCGGTGGTACATAGCAACTTGCCTGCACAGAACCAGCTGGCAATAAAAAATACTGCCGTGCTCGCCGAGATCGAGGTCAATCTTATCTTATCCTTTGACTATCATGTCTACTCCACACTCCGTACTTTCCTCTCTCTCTCTCTCTCTCTCTCTCTCTCTCTCTCTCTCTCTCTCTCTCTCTCCCCACGCGCGCGCGTGCAGGGTCAACCACATAATCATGGCAAGCCATGGGCCTGACAGGCAAGTGAGAAAGAAAACTGAAAGAAGAGAGGAACAGTTTTCTTCTTGAGAAAAGAGTGGGGAAAAAAACAAACACAAACGAAAGAAAAGAGAAACAGCCAACGAAACTGTGCTGAGAAAATGGGAAAAAAAAAAGCCTTCAGGGTCTTTCATGCTACATGCTTCTTTTTCAAAGTTTTTACTTCATTTGTTTCACAGAGTGCGCTCTCTTAGCTCATGACAGGGATACGTATGGCCCTTGCTCCACTACTCACCACGCGCACAAAGAACAAAAAATACCCCGGTGTATCTTCCCGTGTTATAGCCGAAGATTCATTCTTAATTTGCAAATTTGTTCCAGTAATGGAGCGACGCCCTATGTGAATCATAAATTGAATTAAATTCATAATGTGACAGCACATATTTAATTAAGTGGTGCAAAGTTGGAAACCGTCATTCAAGTCATATCATTTGACATTATTTTTCACAAACATTTCTACCGAAGAAGAGAATGAAAGCACAGCCGGGCATTCGCAAGACAGTGTACCTGGCAGGCTGGCCCCTCAAAATCGAGACAATTCCTGGGACCTTTTTTTTTTGTTTTTTTTTTGTTTTTTTTTTTTGTTTTAAGACAGTGTACCTGGCAGGCTGGCACCTAAAAATCGAGACAATACCTGGGACCTCAATATTGGGGCATTCGCAAGACGGGAACCCCAATATTCTTAACGTCCATAGGGCCATTCGGAGTCCGAATCGCCCGCCGTACCTGCTGCTACTTCTTATCCCTGGATGCAAGGAGTCGTCGACATGTGTTTCAAATCTTTGCCACGGCACCGGCCTGAGTTTCGATGGGTCCCGGTTTCGGTTTGGTAAATTTTGTCGATGTACAGTTAGATCGATACTCGGAGCCAACACAACGGAATTGAACCGGTGACCTTGCCCATGACAGGCCGATGCCTCTACCACTGTGACCATCAACCGGTGGTCAAAACTAAGGCCATACTCGTACTGACATTCCGCCCACCCCAGCAAAGTTGCACGAAGGACTACACACATTCAGCACTTGACATCCAAGAGATCCTCCAGCCTGAGTTTCAATGGGTTCCGGTAAAGCGTTTACTGGCATGTGGAGGACTTGATAATCCAGCTCCTACGAATCCCCCGCGACCGCGTCATGACCGCGGCGGGCATGGCCTTGGAAATCCCATGCCGACCAGATGGAGAGCGGGGGTCCAGAGGGTGGGGTGCCCAGTCTGTCTGCGCACCTCCGGTCCCGGGCCGTGGAAGTGAAAAAACAAAAACAAGAGGGTTTTTTTGGGGCGGTGTTCATATTCTTGATTTTCAGGGGGTTTGAAAAAAATATGCCCCCCCCTGTTTTTTGGATTTGAAGTTGGGGTTTCAGGGGAGGGAGTGAAATTTAAGAGGGGGTTTTCAGTGTGTTGGGGGCAAAAGAGGGGGGGTTTCATGGGCATTGGGGGAGGGGGGGGG